CTCTATCTCTCCTTCTCTCCCCCTTCGCCTTGCCCCCTCTCTCTCCCTTCCCCTCACTTGGCATATGACTAACCCCTTCTCCCCTCACTTGGAAACATTGCCAGGGTGCGGACGGTAAACGAAATCAGACTTCACTTGGTGGAGAAAGAGGGCAAGGGGAGGATAGCCAGTCCCTTGTGCCACCAAGGAGGCAAAAGAGAAAGGACGTTTGAGAAAGTGGGAGAAACACGGAATCCGGAAGGGAACATAAGTTGAAAGTGAGGTCAGTTTGACTCAACCATTTCCCCGACTGCATGACTATGAGAAAAGGATGGGCTGATTGAACAACAAAAAAGGAACAAAGCACAGCCAAAGAGCATGGGAAGGATAGGCATGTGGGAAGGGCTATGTGTTGACCCCCAACGGGGGATATTGTATGGATCTTCTGACTTGTGTGGGATTGTGCAGGTGAGTAATGGCTAGAAATGCCTTGAGTGGGATAGGGGCGAGAGGAACTGGGCATCAAGAGGAAAAGGAAAAGGGGACGAAGGGGCTATGGGACCCTTGAGATAGAGTCAACCCATGAAAATGACTTTTGCGCTTGAGACTCGGAAGTGTGATTGAGAGTGAAATCGTGCCAAGGAAAATGTGATGTTGTGTGTGCATGCATATGAGGACCCCGAAAAGACTAAGGGGCTTACTTCAATAAGGTGGGAAGTAAAAGGTGAGATCCGATGAATATGTAGAGGCGAGGGAGAGAACGGCTTGGCCGCACCCCGATGACGCCATATAGTCGAAATGCTTAGGGAAAAGGTGCGTGGCCTAAGGATGACGCTTAGCCTACGCACAAGAGAAGAGAAATACTCAAAGAATCCTTGGACTGCCTGCGCATTGGAAGGAGCAATTGCATGAGAATACAACAAAGAATCGAAAAAAAATCAGCGTTGCGGAACAACCAGCGACACTACCACCCGGCGTGAGGGCTGAGCTACATCCCCAATGTCAAAGCTCTTTCGCGCAATGGCCCACCCCCATCCATCTCAAAGCACTAGGTGGGGGTGACCCTGGACGAATGGCCCGCGCCCTGAGCATGAGTGTGGGCGGGCCGAGCCAACTGGGACCCGCAGTAGGGTCGACTAAGGCTCGAAAGTCTACTGGGGTTTGGCCCTACACCGTGCCAAAATCCAATCATCATTTGAGGGAGGGCGTCCGGGGCCGTCCTCCCAAAACCCGAATGGGAGCCTGGTGGGGAAGCCAATGAATATTTGGGGACTCTGGTGGCCGACCACCTCGGTAATGAATCCACCACCCTTGGGTTTTGCTACCCCAGTTTACTACCATGTCCGATACCTGAGCGAATTTCTCCAGAAGTCGACGAATTTCCTCCACATTCTCATGCGTGGCCTTAGTAAATCTGCGAATAGAGAGCACATCGGGACCGCTTCCTCCGGGATTCGTGCAACCCGAAGCCTCTTGATATCCTTGTTAGCCCGCAGGTTGGCCGATAAGGCTTCCATGATAACAAGGAAGAGGAAGGGTGCAATCGGGTCCCCTTGACGTACGGAGCGTTCCAAGTTGATTGGAGGTGCCAAGGTCCCGTTAATCTGCACTCTTGTGGTTGCATTTCGGTGAAGGATACGGATCCATCTACGGAAGATCGGCCCAAAATTCATTTTTCCAAACACTTATCAAGAAAGAGCCAATCTACATGATCGTAAGCCTTTTCGAAATCCACGAAAACCAGGGCCACGTTTTGTTCCGAGTGACGGGATAGCTGCAACACTTCGTTTATCAGTAAAATGTTTTCTTGAATTTGCCTGTGCTGCATAAATCCTGTCTGTGCTGGATGAATCACTGTCTCCATGACGGGGATCACTCTGTTTGCCGAAGCTTTTGCCAGCATTTTATAGACTACAGTCAGGAGGGTGATTGGCTTGTAATTCCGGATATTGAACACATCCCTTTTTTTATATAGTAGTGACAACACCCCTTGGCCAACCAACTCCCCCATGTCCCCTGTACGCCCCACCTCCCCGTAGAAGTCCATGAGGTCCGAGCACATGCAGCCCCACATTCCTTCCCAAAATTCCTTAGGCATCCAGACCGGGGGTTTTCTCCTCTCCCATCTGAAGGAGGGTTGTCCAGACTTCCTCCTTGGTCATGGGGGCTTCCAATAGCTCCCTCTGCTGCATGGAAAGAGATCTACCCATTGGTTGGAGAAAATCTGCAATCTGTCGCCGCCTATACTCCTCATCGGTGGGGGGAATGTGGGAGGCAAAGAGATCTTTAAAAAAATCGGCCGATTTTTAAGCATCCTGCCGTTGTGGTAATTGGGTGTGTGTCCGGGCCTCCCGGGCCATACAGAGCTTCTATAGTCGCTCGCTTAGCTCTAGCTCGGGCCATGCCAAAAAACTTAGTGTCCATTTGTCCCTCTGTGGTAAGAGTCGAGAGCATCCCACGGATTCGAGCCCCTTGCCAACGATATTCTGCTTCTTGGAGAAGTTGGGTTTTGAGAGATTGCACGCTTTGCACGTATTGGGTTGTATCTTGTGGTGTTGGATGCTACTCCAACTCTTGAAGTTGATTTAACAGATCGATCTCGTGCATGTTCCGTTGCTTAGCCAAATGTTTAGATAATTCATTACACTTTCTTGCCATGAAAAAAAGGCCGTTATTAAACCATGTCACCGGAGAGTCTATTTCAGGACGCCGTTCCTTCAAATATGCCCATGCCTGAGACAGATACTGTTGGAATGCTTTCAGACGCATCAAGGATGTGGTTAGCTTATAGAAGCCCGGACCTTGGTCCGGTTTCTTGCGAAAGGTGAGCGCTAACATGCACATCTTGTGGTCCAGCCCCGGGTAAGGGCTTGACGGGAGGATAGCAACCAGAGATAGGCTGCCTGCAAGATCCTCTGAGATGAGGATCAAATCAATCCTAGATTTTGAGAGCCTCATAGGGTCATTGTTCCGGATGCATGTGTAAGTGCGGTTGGTTGGAAAGAGTCGGCGGTAGTTGTCAAACAGGGGCAGGGAGTCACAAAGTCTATAGAGCATGTCTTCATCCTCTATAGCCTGTCGCGTGGTTGATGTGGGGACCTGCCAGCGATCTAGCCATCTGTCAGGAGCAGCATTAAAATCATCAGCGAGGATGATGGGGATGCCTTGTGGTATCTTACTTTGGATTTGTAGAAAAAAATCCTCCTGTTCCGCCACCGTGTTAGGCGCATAAATGCAAAAGATGCATACTATTTCCAATTCCAGCGCCCCAAGAATAGATACCCAGCGCCCCTCAACCTCGTCTGCTTCCCAATAAAGCACCTCCAATCTCGAATCCGGAGGGATCCAGATTGCGGTCCCTGCACTCGCCGGTCTCGTCGCATGTGCGTTATAGGCCTGGTATGGCCAAACCGCCTTATGGGCCCTATTATGATTGGGAGAGTCCAGCAGGTGTGTTTCCTGAACACACACTACATCTGGCCAATTTCGTCCCTCCACCCCCCTAAGGAGGTCCCTTATGGCTTGAGATTTGCTTGGGCAGAGGGTAGCCAAGCCGTTTACGTTAATGGATCTGAGATCCAGGTCTGTGTTACGGAGGGTGCTGCGCCAAGCTTTGTTTTGGCCATAGAAGGCTTGTATCCAATCCATCCTTTCAAAAAGCAGTGTGTTACCCTCCTACTGTTAGGACCTACACATAATGCCAAACGTAGTTGTCCCATGCCACCCCGTCATTAATTTTTCCGAATTATGGAACACAGGGCGGTGGTGATTTCTGTATCTGGCCAGATGTGACTTGGTTTGATTTTGAGTTGGTGCAGCTCCAAGAGAGCGTTATGAGATAGCCATGTGAGTTCTGCATCCTTTTTTCCTTCGAAGAGGATGTACAGATCATTGTCCGCGATCTTGCAAGAGCCTGATCCCACTCGTATTAAAGTTTTTGCTCCCGCTTCATAGTGGGATGCAATAAACTCTTTGGCATCTTTGATCCGGAAGCCCCGCTGTCCCTCCCCGTCCTGTTCTAACCTCCATCCGTGCAAGGTAAGGCCCCCCCTGCAGTAGGAGTAGTCGGATTCCTCCACTGGCGAGAGGCCTATCTCCCACCGGCCCATATTTTTTCTTATCGGGATTGCCAGGACTTTCTCTCCTACCGGAAGCGGCCCCTGAAACAGTCCTTTCTCGATCAGGTGTCTCAGTCTTGACGGCCGGGGAGATTCTGTGATTTCTCCCTCCGATTTCTTGGGTGGAGGGTCGGGGGGGGGGGGGGGGGGGGGGGGGGGAGGCTGTTCATTTTCTGGGGGGGGGGGGGGGGGGGGGGGCATTGAAATTCCTGGTGAACAATGTGCCACACCCGCTGCCATGTTTCATGCCAGCTGGCTGACTGGGACAGCCCATGCTCCAAAGTCTGTTATAGGCTCGGGCTGCAGTCCAGCATTTTGAACAGCTCTAAGTATGCTTGGTCCCAGAAGTCGTCGGTCAGGTGGGAGAGGTGCGTGTAATAGCCTCTCAGCTGCTCATAAAGCCAGTCGGTAAGGACCTTCATTTTGTCCTCCGCCTCCCCCTTCGTTTCTGGTGAGGGATCTGTCATGATCTCGTCCGGCAGAGGAGCGGCTGTTCCCTCTGTCTGTGTTGGTGGCTCTTCTATCTCCATCGGTTGTGGGCCAAAGGCCCGCTGAAAGAGGTCTTCCATCTGAGGGGGGTTAAAAGCCTGTTGTCTGCGGGGTTGCTGTACCTCCAAGGCTGCACTCTCCGCCCCTTTGATTGCAGTTTTGTGCTTTGACCCACTCTTCTGCTCTTCTTGATAATCGAGTGACCCGACCTCCTTCTCCTGTAAGACCTTTACTTCCCCACCTCCCTCGCATCCCTGTGCATGAGGCCCCTGTCCCCCCTGCCCTTCTGCTATACTTCTTTGTTTTTCCCCCCCTGGCCCTTGTGCTATGGAGTCCAGCTGATTTACTTCCTGCAGATGAGACCCGGCTGTTTCCTTTTTCTGCGCTCCTTTTTCTTTTTTGGATTCTTCGGGGTGTACTGATTGTTCATTTCTGAGCCGGGCCTCCCCCCCCTCTGCCGTCTCAGCGTCAGCGTTCAGAATCCTATAGTGGTTCGTGTCCCTGACCAGGTTCTCCTTACCATTCTTTGCTGTTGTTTTCTTTCGGTATTCTTGTGCTGGTTTGTGCATGTATGTTGCTTTTTTGGAGGGGATCACCTTCCAGCATTCCTCCATCTCCGTATCCTTCAGGAAAGACTCCGGCGTCGGTTCTAGTACCTGTTCCTTACCCGATTGGTGGTCGATCTTTGCTACCAGGTGCTCTTCCACCGAGTGCAGGGGAACCCAGTGGTCCGGGGGTTTACTGTTGAGGTCGCAGTCGTCCTTCCTCTCCCATTCCCAACCTTTAGTTCTCCCTTCTGAGTTGGCCTCATCGATGTAAACCCAACCCTCATGGTCTGGGTCAACTATCCGCCAATGCGAGGCGCAGAAGGGATCGCGAAGCAACCGTCCTGTCGCCTTCGTACGCCTTGCCGGGTGAAATGCACAGCCCACCTTTGCAACAGCGCGGCTGTACTGTTGGCATTTAAAACACCACGGCCGCCGTTTATGGGCCGTGTGTACTTTGAAGTCCTTGCCCCCAATACGGAAAGGGATCACATCATCAATCTGAAAGATGCTGTCATCCGGTAAGTCCAAAGCCATCATCAGATAGTCATCGCGAGGGGCGACATAAGCAGGGAGGGGTTCAATAAAGTCGACAATGTCGTATTTTTGCGCCAGTTCTTGAACAAAGGCAG